AAACTTGCTTCGAAGGGAAGTGCTAAGTTGGCCTCACGCTCAGTGACGGAGACAGCGCACGCCGAACCCTGATCACGCACGCGATCGAACAAAGCACCCGCATGGACCTTCCTCGCGGCGTCTCGACCCAGACTCCTGTGCCGGCCCCCGGCTGACCCGGTCCCTAGCGCGCGGCGAGCGCGTGGCCCCCGCGACCGGCGATACTGTGCCGGCGGACGCGCCCCCAGGTCTGTGACCGGCCGCACGGCCAGCAGCCAGCCGGCCACCCAGCACGTGCTCGCCAGCCAGCGGGGCTCTGGACGACGGGATATGACTATCCCGCCCAGTGCAGATGCGATCAAAGCTGGGGGGACCGGCGAGGCGCGACGCCCCCGTCCGCCCGGCCCGACGCGCTACCCAGTCCCTTACCGGCCGGTCGGGCCCGCGCCGACACAGCCAGCAGTAGCCAGCCACTTCCCAGGCGGGTCCAGACAGGCGACTCCAGACGGCTTGAGCCATTGTTTGAAAGATAAAACCGTCTCAGTTATCGTCCTTCTCTTCCACACAGCAGGGCTTCGGCCGTATTTAATGTGGCTTATTTGGCGGTGTGAGCTTCGCCCCGGGAGACACGATTCTTCTCGGTCCCATGCGCACAGGGATCGTGAGACGCTTATGCGCCTTAAAAATTAAGGTTTGCATAAATTTGCTTACATAACAGCGTAAAGCGGCCAATCACATGAGTCAGTGGCAAGCATGAAAACAAAACAGTGGGCCGTTGGATTTTCCAGACTTGCTGAATTGAGGTCCCCTTGGTGTCTGCTACGGAAGACAAGCAACACTCACTGTGCACTGAAAGCTGCTTTTTGGAACCTCCACTGTAAGTCTTCTTGGAAAGATGCTGCACGGTCTCCACGATGAGACCTCTTGCCACATGGTCTCATCGGAGACCAGTTTGTCACTTTAGGAGAGAGTGAGAGGGGACGGCCCTCTTGCGAAGACTTTGAGACTCTCCGCTAATTTTACAAACTTCTCAGCGTGCCGCCATGAACACTTTGAGGCTATTCAAGATTTTCACAAAGTTCTCAGCGTAGCACCGCCAGCGACATCTCCACGAAATTGTATGCACTCAACGACACGTCCGTGACTGAAAGGTGACCCTGCAATCGAGTCGCAGTGAGCCTGAATATTAAGCCTGAAGATAAGCTAAATCAGATGTAGTTCACAGTTTAGTCTTGTTGAAGTTCATGCAACGTTTTGAGAATGTTAGGAAAAAATCACATGAAGCTATTATTGTCACGTTTTTAATAAGCGACACCAAGCATCGCACGGCGGTTCTAAAGCGGACTGCAAACTACCAGTCTCGGCAGTTCAGCCGGTGTACCAAGTTACGTCCAGTTACTCATATTACTATGTTTTGGAGCAAAGTCGCTGCCTTGATTTTGGTCGTAATCCGGGGCTCGATGAGAACGTTTCACCAATTTTTTCTTACTTTTTCGGTAACTTCCTATCATTTGTAGTGCAAAATGAAAAATCTGGAGCTGAAACAGAGGTCCGGCCCCTTGCTGTGTCCCTGTTGTTTGAGAAGAAGTACGTTGAATTTATGGTATGGTTCATGTTTTCTAACGCGTGTATATTTTTCGGTTTATATTTACAATATTCAACAACACATCCAACTGGTTCAGGCGAATTAAAAAGGTAGCCATTTACATTAGGCGAAGAACTAAGAGTTTCGTGCTTTGCAAGCACGCTGTCTTACAGGCGGGCTGTCAAATCGTGTGTTCAATCGTACTTTCCCCAAAACTTTCTGTGGTTTCTATTGAAACTAGCTTCTTGACCATGGTTTAGAGCTTGCGCTTTTTATTTCATGCTCAAGATTTCTGCGGAATTTTCGGCTTAAGGATCAGCGACAGCGGACGCAGAGCCGCCCCGGGCTCCCGCCAAAACTGAGAAGTCTTGCGACGGAACCACAGCTGAGCGGTGAGTATTTTATTGTTTTTTTCAGCCAGTTCCATTTGCCATGTCCCCTAGTAATATGTATTGCGCATCATTAAATACCCTGCACAAAGACGGTCATATGGTTATCTGCATGGGATATTATCATTAGTTATCTGCATTATCCGCTCTCCGGGATACATAACACGGTTACGAGTTGAATTCATAAAGCGTTCAAAAGCATCACTTTCCGGTGCGCGGCTGTTCTTGCTCACCCGTTAACCGCCAGCGGGTGTTAGCTGCAAAACCGGCGACGAGTAGCCCATGAAGACTACAACGCCGAGCGTCGGTGTTCTTTCTCACTAGCCTGCGAGCGCACATGCTTAAAACTTCCATGTAATTCCTTGCCAATGAATTGCAAAGGAAGGATAAATTTCCTTATGCGAGGAAAGGTTGTACATGCCATTGGAAATCCACTATGCTCTCAATACCTTTGTAAAACACCGAGAAAATCTGGCAAATTCTCTTTCAAACGAACCTGCACGTTCCACCGACACATTTGGTTGCATTCTGGCGTGACCAAACTAAGATGAATGTCAAAGTTCGACATATACGAGATGACAAAATTTCTTGGAAGGTTTGCCACCGATGCCAGCTGCCGCGTAATCCTTCGTATTCTCGGCCCGAACGCACGATTATTCACATGTCGGCGGTGCGCAGCATCTATTATCACTTTGTTGTTAAGTCTATGGAGCCCATATTCTTTACGCATCGCTGAAGCCATATTCCTGAGTTCGAATTTTCGCATTCTTTTGTACTCCATAACCATCAAAAGACACAGCACAAGTTTTCATGCTGTCGACACAAAACATTCTACATATTCCAGGTAGTTTCAATGTGTTTTGTCACCAGAAAGTGAGAAAGTGTATTGCAGAAAAATCGTACGAGCATCAATGGTCTTAACGTTTTCGGCCACAACCCCAAGCACTCAAGTATTCGTGTCGTGCGATATCACTCAAGTCATTACGACTTCAAATTCATGTACCAGTTACTGCTCTCGGATTCAGTGATTGGTTGTATGGTAAGCAAACTTCAAATCTGCACTAGGCTGGTTTCGCTGTACGTAAGTTAACGATGGGTAATCATTCCAGTCGTGTTGCCACACCTGTCTTCGTGGGTATTCAATAGCTAAATTCAGTTCGTTTTGCTAGTCTTCTCCGAAGTACCTAGCTCAGAATGGTAGGACCCATCAGTCTCTGGAAAAAATAAACGCATACCATTTATAGTTTGCATATTTATTTTTAGTGTCGAGGATGTGTGCGGGACCTGGGGTAAGCCAATCTCGATTGGCCCTTGTGGCTGCTTGTTGACCTGACGTCTTTATGTTTTTGTCCTCAATCAACTGACAGTTCCAGAGCACTCCTAGAATAGCTCTATGTCATAGCACAACAGCTGTTTGTAACTCCAAAATATTACCAGTTAACATTGTTGCTGTTCTTCACCTAGGCGATATTTCACATTGTTGTAAAATGGCTAGCCGCAGATATCAGTATTGGATAAAGAATGAATTACTTACCCTGCTTCCGAAATTTATCATGTCCTGTAGAGCTGGCTGAATCGGCTTGCCAGCTACAACTGTCATCTTATTTTCATTTTGTATTGTTTTGAACGACGCCACCCTGCTACTCTTTTCTATAAGTGGGGCGAACTAAAGGTATGAGCTGATTAAATATCTATAAAGGGTCCCGTTTAGTGTAACAAGCTTCTTCGTAGTTTAATTCAGGTGGTTTGCCTATTGCATGTTAATGAAATCGTATGGAAACGAGCTTTTCCTTGTCACTGTGTTTAATATATTAAACTTCCTAGAACTTTCTAGAAACATTTAAAAAGTGTTAACAGGCTCATCAGTGCATTAATCAATCGTGAAAACCACTGCTGTGAATTATGAGTACGTCGTTGCATCGGCCCAATATTGCAAGCAAACAAATGGTTGGTTTTGATATGGCAGTGCGCAGAAGGAACAGTCCAAAACCAGGCATTTCCACCGTCAACATTTGTTGGAAAGTTTGAGTTCCGAGTTCATCCATACGCTCAAAAGTCATCCAGGCATTGCTGTGCTCGACATCATGCGGAATCAGATTGCATCTGTCTTCCCGGCCACCCGGCCAGGATAATTCCTGGTGCCTCTCACAGTAGTGAATACCAGCGCCGTCGCTTTTCCATAGGCTGCACACTCGAGTATTTCCATTCCACCGAGCTGACCGTCTGTTCATACGTGTGGACGGTTTGAAGTAACTGTATGTCGACGGCACTTCCGAAACGTTACGTGACGATTAGGGCGAGAATGATACTAAATTTTTGTGAAAGTCACCCTTATTGGAGGTGTAATGTGATGACACACATTGTGCAGTGATATGGACTGGTGTTGGAAAATGTTTCCAGGCACAGCTGGTTTAATACCAGGCATGGCTAGAAAACATGCCAACAAAGTCTCGAGGCTCATTTTGTGGGAAATAACGGTTTAGAAGTACTCGAAAACGATTATTGCGAAACCCCCATGGTTATGGCTTTCGAAGCGTGAATGCCCTGGGGCATCACGGTGGTGACGTCACTGTGGGATTGTCAGACCTTGTCCCGACCAGGTTCCGCCCCACTCACCCCCGGCCTCCTGATCGCGCGACCGCTGCGCAACCGTTTGCATAATCCACACATTTTTTGACGCCGTTGATGGGTGTGCTGTCAGTAGGCTATAGTTGCTGACCGCTGGCCGAGACATGGCGGAGTCGCGCCTGCTGCTGCTGCTGCTGCCCGCCGCCGCCCTGCTCGGCGCCGCCCTCCTCCTGACCTGGCGACGTTGTCATCGCACCGACGCCGCCGCCACCTGAACGCCGGCCTTAGCTGTTCTTGGCCGTTTACTTTAAGTTGGCTGCGCAGTTCCACCGTTTCCATGTTGGCCACCCCTCGTGGGCTTGAACATATCACAAATGACCTATCTTAGAAACGAAGTGGCTTTGCAGCGACGGCACGTTTTCTAAGTAAATTTTAATTGGTCTTCCCAAGCTAAAAAGTAGCAGCTTTTCCGTCTAATTTCACAAAAATCATCGTCTTTAGTTTTCAAAACCGGTCTCAATTTTAATAAATAACGTCATGTCCAACTGAGCTAAAATTCATTTTTGCACAGAGTTAAACGCAACTAACAATGCCATGGTAAAAACAAACGCTGATAAAACTGCCTTAAACACGGAGCCAACCAAAGGTCAGCCGTCAGCTGAACTATGAGCTGACCTTCCTGCATCACACCTTTTAAATGAGTGCATGTTCTGAGAGGCGCTACCTCTCTTAGTTTCAAAAGAGCAGGAGGTTGTATCGACCCCCTGGCACTCCGCGTTGCAAAAGCTGCGAATCAGGAATCAGTGACTAACGCTGTTAAAAATGTTTCGTTCCCCTACATATGGACGGAAGTTCGTTGGAACTTGACCAATAACATTAAAATAGTCATTGAACTAGCTTGTGCAGCTGTTCACCACGTTAAGTGTGGCCAATGAACATTTCCTTCGATTTCATGGACAACAATCAGGACTGTTTCATCAGGGGCAAACTTGCATTGCCAATATTGATTGTTGTGACGTCAACATCGCGTTTAAAATGTTCATGAGCTAGTCCCATGTGGCAGAGATGTCACATATACCCTATTCCAATTTGCAGTTGGCTCCTAACAGAGACATTTTCGGCAACACCTAACGCACAAAGCCTTTGAGACAGGCATAATTAAAAACTTTCAATGATGCTTCTACCCTATTTTTTGTTGTTGGCCTCTTCATGTGTAAAACTGGAAGGGTCCAGCTAAAATAATTCAGAACAAAAACAATTAATCGTGAGTGAAGGAGTTCACAATATCATGCTGTGCTCTTAGTCACCACTGCACACCTAAAAATGGCTTCCAAAATTTACCATAGCTATACAACATACTGTACTAGCAAAGCGAAAGAAAAAAAATGGGAAAATGATCCCGGTTATTAAATTCAGCAACACACCTTTAGGCGTGTGATGATGGCAAAAGCACAGTAAAGTTATGTGTTGAATTTCTTCACTTATGTTGCAGAAGGTTTGCTATTCTTAATTATTTTGGCTGAGCCACTCCAGTTTTTCACAAGCAGAGCTCAACAAAAACACAGGATAAAATACCAATGAAGATCTGATTGGTTCCAATAACACGTAAAGCATACCGAAAAAAGCATTGCGTTCTTTTACTGCTTGGAGATCATCAGTGCTTGATTTTGATGCTGAATGATAACCTCTGACTACCGTGTTTGACAAGATATTTTAGCATGAGATGAAGGTATTATTTTATAACTACCATGCAATATCTTGGGAAAACCGGCTGTCGTATGTTAAGTGCAATACTGTAAACGGTGAACGTTTGCACAATTTTAAGCTTCCACAAATGCGACTAAACTGATAATCGGTCAGCACAATTGCTTATGTAATGTGGCATTCTGACATTGCGCACTGGCAACACCAAAATGCACATAATAGCAGAATGTTGATTTTACTCCGTTCAGGAAACGATGTTTTGGTATACCATGAGTGAACAGTGGGTTAACGGTGAACTGATAACGATGGTTAGAGTGGACAGTGTGTGAGTTAAACTGAGGTAAAGCTGATGCACTCAGGACGGAAACATTTTGTGGCGCAGTAGAACCCAATAACGTCATTCAAATCGCATGATCCTATCCATCATGATTGCGATAGTGGGCATATGTTACATTTGTGAGTTGATTGGTATGAATGTTGTCAGTAGACTTGGACGTTTGTAATCACTACAGCGTGCGGCGCAAACATTTGACAAGAAGTGTGTTAGTGAAACATGTGCGCTACTAAACCACCTGATGTGTCGCTGGTATGCACCTGCCCTTTAACACAACCTTTGATAAGACCAGTATCAAAGCACACAATGCTTTCCAAGGTACTTTCCAAAGTGCTTTCGCTGGTATGTACCTGCCCTCAAACACAACCTTTGATAAGATCAGTATCAAAGTACACAATGCTCTCCAAAGCCAAAACAGTCTTCGAACAGACTCACTATGCTTAACATCAAAGTGGAGAAATCAAAGCCATAGTGCAATTTTTTGCTGAATTCGTGAGAATGGTCTCCTAGTTGTATATTTCTTCCCTGGAATGGAGATTGTCAAGCTCTCACACCATTTATTGCAAGAGGATTTTGGCGAATCAGTGTAATAAGAATTCCAACTAACACACACTTCGCAAAGAGTCAAACAAAAAAGAGTTATTGCTTTCGCAGTAGTGTAGACAGATTCCAATGAGATTTCTGTGTTCGAAGTGGCTCCTTTGAATCACATTGGTGAGCTTTGAGAGAGATTTCGGGAAAGCTGGTATTTAGGGCCAAAAAGGTTGTCAACGCCATGGCCATGTTCAGAAGGCCTCAGTGATCTCGAATGATCCACAGTGACATGTTTTGTGGTAGAGTTCGGAAAAAGGCTATATTTGCCGTAAATATAAATTAGTTGTCTATTATGCATTAACCAAACACAGATCGCATGGCACGGCAAGGACAGATTATTGATACTGTGCAAAGGGTTCAGCTTGAATAGCATACATGCAAATTTGTTGGCCCTGACTTGAGACTAGGTCAGTGGTACCTGGTAATGTGATCGTGCATTAAGTTAGCGGTCATTTTCTGATATCCTCTGAATATCAAAACTGAGCAAAATATGTTAAAGTAAGTCCAGGCCTTATCGTAACATGTTTTGCCTTACCTCAGATGGCATAAACGGAGCTTTGCCGAAAAACCTAAACACAAGTTGTAAATTATAAAGCTTTCCATGAGGCCAGCACGTTTTAGCCCAATTGGTTGGCCACCGCAAAAATAAGCAGCCGAACTGTGTTTACGATTGAGTCCTTTAATCTGACCCGCGTTAGATACCTAGCACTACTTTGGGTGAGCACTTTGACTAAGGTTTTGAAGGGATTATGGAGCAGGAGGTGTAATCCTCAACTACGCAGCGCCTTTGTTCTCGCTGTTTTTCTTTAGGCGTTGATTTGTACGTCAACTGCCCACGGACATCCAATCACGGCAATGGCTCATTATATTAGGTTTGATCAATGATTATTTTCCTCGCCCTGATTAACGAGCATCTAGCGCTTGTTAATCAGAGGAGATTCGAATAGTCAGAGCTAACATTACAGAGTTGACTTCGTAATCAATATATTTCGGAGCTAGTCTGATCTAGCAGATGTCACAGCTACCTCATAAAACCTGATTGTCATTTGAAGTTCACTTTGACGAAGGAAGCTCCGTTACTACTTGATCAGGCATGCCAAAGGGGCATTCATTCAAAGTTGCGTTCATAATGAAAATGAAAAGACATTGTTAGCTTTGCTGTTTGCGATGGCGTAATTGCTCAGACGGCTATTCATACCATCGAATAGAGGGAAACTAGCTAGTATTTAATTGCGCATTTGCTCAGCTGATTACTGATTGCAGTACATCACGTAGACAGCATCAGACCAATGTGTACAAGACAGCGATTAAGCGCGAACATAGCGCGTCTGCCGCAACCATATTACCAGTGGTCGATTCTGATAACAGCATAACGGACAACGCGTGCTCGGTGCAATGACCCAAATGGCCCAATGACCCGAACAATGACGATTAATTTGAAGACATTGTCGCTCCTAGACGAGCAGCCGACCCTCGGAGTGGACCACAGACTATGCATGAATTCGACGAGCCGTCATTCGAGCTCTGACCGGCAGGTCGGGAGGATGAACGCATCACCTCAAGCAGCGGCCCGACTTCTCGTGCCGTGGCTGCTCCTCACCAGCGTGTCAGGAACGAGCTCCGGTCAGTGGCCGCAGGTGAAGGCCTGGGCTCACAGCCAGGTGGTAGCGGCCGTCCTCGGCCGCATGTCCCACCTCCAGGACGTCGTTGTCGTCCACAGTCGCGGGACGGTGCCGGAGGCTCTATGGTCGGAGCTGAACAAGGGGGCGAGATCCGTGGAGACGCTGGAAGCGGCGGGATCGATTGATGGAGCACGGGTGCGTCATCACAGCGTGCTCAAGGTGTGCATCTTCTGGCTGGCGGACGCCGAGTGGCAGCTGCTGAGGCCGGAGGACCCGGAAGCGTTTCTCGACAAATGGGGCAGTCGTTGTGGCCGGCTGGTGGTGGTGGAGACGATGCGGCAGGTTGACGAGTCGGCCGGCGTCAGGCTGGTCAACTATGACCACGCGCAAACCATCTCCGTCGTGATGTTCCAGCCCGACGGCGACCACGTCATGGTCTTCGGCTTTCACATCGACTGCGTCCGCCAGCGCATGGCTCCGACCCTGCTGTACGACTCGCGGCGACGGCGGAACAGCGATGACCTGCACCGGCCGAACCGCGTGGTCCTCCGCGGCCAGCATCTCCTCGTCACATCCACCGCGCTTGCCGACACCCACCTCGCCTACCTCGCCGACCCGCGAAACCAGTCGAGCATCGTCGGCGTCGAGCCCACGATGCTGGCGGCAGTCGCCGGCCACTACGGCTTCAGCTACTCCATGGTGCATCCGCAAACGACGGACGGCCTCTTCGGCGTGCGCCTGGACAACGGCTCGTGGACGGGCGTGATCGGGATGATTGTGCGGGGCGAGGCGGACCTGGCCGTCGGCGACATCTCGGTGACGCTGGAGCGCAGCGAGGTGGTCGACTTCACGTACCCGTTCCTGGTGGAGCCAGTGTCGTTCTTCATGCTTCGACCTGCCCCGCTGCCGCGCTGGCTGGTGATCGCTGTGCCGTTCGATAGCGCCACCTGGCTGCTGCTGCTGTTGGTGCTGGTGACGGCACTGGTCGCGCTGCCACTGCTACCCGGCATGCTGGCCGGCCGGTCGTGGCGGCTTCGCCTGCGGGAGGCATCCGCCTTCCTGTGGGGGGCGATGGTGAACCAGGCGGTGAGCCTGCGGCCGCGCGCCGCCGCCTGTCGCCTGGTCGTCGTCTCCTGGTGGGCGTTCTGCCTGACAATGACCATCTGCTACCAGACGCTGCTGACGTCGCAGCTGTCGGTGTCGCTGTTCCCGCCGCCGCTGGACAGCCTCACGCAGCTGGCTCTCTCGGAGCACCGCGTCCTCAGCATACAGCACGTCGCCGTCACCGAGTATCTGGAGAGCTTCAGCGGCAGCGCATCGGTGCTTGGCCGGATCCCGCCGAAGCTCTCCTACTTCCCGCTGGAAGAGAGCCTGACCGAGCTCCGTCTCGAGCCCAACACCGCCTACCTCGAAGAGCTGGCCATGCTCCGCCAGGCGGTGGCGGCGCGGCCCGACCGCCACCGCTACTACATCTCGCGCGCGCGTTTCTTCGCCACGGGTCTCGCGTGGCCAGTCCGACGAGGCGCCTGCTTCAGGGGAGCTCTGGATGAGGCCGTGCGCCGCCTCCTGCAGGCCGGCCTCGTGGAGTTCTGGATGCGGGACGCCGGTGCCGACGAAGCGACCGTCGCAGTCGCTAAGAAGAGCCTCCGCTTGAAGGACCTGACAGGGGCCTTCCTGCTGCTGGTGACGGGAATAGCGCTGGCCACCGCCTGCTTGACCCTAGAGATGGTCTGGGTGGGGCAGCGACGCAAAAAGCGCGGCAATGTTTGGGCCAGGGTGGTGAGTTCAAGCAGAAGGGACGCCGAGGAGGAAAGAGCCTGCTCGTGAATGGGGGTAGGTGGCTGGTGTTGGCGGATTTAGACCGTGAGCAAACATATCTGGACGCAGATCCGCTATGCAGACAGCCGAAGATAGGAGAGCACGTCTTCGCTTTTTTCGTAAATGGTTTATGAATGACGTTTCAAATGAGACAGCTCTCTCCACCCTGAGAAGATTGTATCACACGGCGGGGAAAATTGAGCTTATGATATGCTTGTCCTAGAGTAGATTACGTTGCAAGCAAGCTGGAAACGTTACGACAGGTTGGACAAATGCGCTCGTCTGTGTTATTTCGTGATTTTTCGTAATTGCGACATGACACATTTTTGCCATTTTAATCAGTATATATATTTTGCAACTATTGCCACCTCGTCCTCGGTTGCTCAGGTAGAAATAATGGGTGCATATAAGCAATGTAACTGGCGACTTCATTTCTATGGCAATAGGTTATGACAGTCATATCAGCCAATGACACATTGCCGGTTCATTGATACGCGCCATCATGCATCCATCATCACTGATACAGCATGCCCCATGCACAGCTGATGCAACATGTGCCACTCAAGATCTTGGAAGAAAGTTCGCGCCACCCCGAAATCCCTGGGAAGTAGACATCAGTCGTATTATGCCGAAAATCCATGAACACATTTGCACCGATCGTTATGGAATTCAGCGATATGCAAAAAAGCTATATTTGTCACGCTCATCCTAAGACGCGTGCACGTATGCGGCCGAAAGTACACTGAAAGATACCTTCGGTGTACGGTTTTCTTGTACTTTCGTGTACTTCGGTGTACTTTCGGTTTTCGGTTTCAGTTTCGATGTAAAAGGTAGGGAGCTGCTGAGCGTCAGCCGAATGGCTCAATGCGGACATCGATCGCGTGGATTTGGAATAGATTGCCCTGATACTCCTTAGACATGACACTCACTATACGCTTTCACATTTGTCAACGTCGGTACTGTGAGGGGCAAGGCGGAGGTTTGATGATCATTCAATTCAGGAGAATTCATAGTGGATCATGTCAAGGTAGCAGGCTCTGGAAGTACCAGATGCTTATAGGCAGGGAGCGCGGGCAGAATATTGTAGTTACTACTTTGTTGCTTCTGAGTCAGGCATTGGCAACGGGTGTTTAGAAGGTTCGAAAACCGTCAGTGAAGAGATTTTGCATCATACCTCCCAATGAAAGCATTGCCCGCTAGTCCGTCTAAAATAGGTAATGTTACTTCGCAATATGCATCTTTAGAAATGTTGTGTTCTAGCCTAAAATTGCTACAACAGCTGTGTCATTAGAAATATAACCTGAAAAGCCTTCGCAAACGTCTTACATTCCTTCGTACCGGAAGTTTGTTCGTGCCTTAATCATGAGCAACGAAAGCGGCCCAGTACAGTACAGGTAACAGTCTCCTAACCACCCGTAACAAAAGTTCCAATCATGCAGGGGTGCAGCCTCAAAAACGAAGTGTTCGGGGCCTATTTCATAAAAGCAGACTAAACATACTCCCTAACTTGTATCAACATATAGGTTTCTCCCTGAATTTTGCAAACTTTCTCTTCAGAGTTGGGGATTTTAACCCAAGCTGAGAGCGGGGCTCTAGTCCCCAGCCCCAAGTGGAATAGGCAAGCAATGTCACTGACCTCAAACTTTGGTTCTTATGCACTGCACCTGATTTCAGCCAATTCTCCCACGGCTTCTCTCGCAGTGAAAGTCAATAAAAGACTATTCCACTCCCTGGTACGTCACTATTTTCAGCCCAGAACAAAGCAGCAAAACTCCGCTGAGACTGACCTTTTTTAAGTGGCAACATCAAATGACGTCATCAGGACCCTCCAGCTCATAATTCATCACGTGTGTAAGCTCGCCGTGTATTGGGATTCATTCTGCTTGCCGAACCTGCGCAGCCTCCTTAAAGACACAATGAAGGGAAGAGCAGTGTTTTTGTGAGATGTACATCGTATACAAAAGGTGAAAAAATCCATAAAATGTGTATTCTAGGCAAAGGTTTAGCATAGGTTTCAGCGAATCAGCACAGCACATCTTCGGACCACTTCTGATATCCACAAAATATCCAGAAATTTGCCCTTCTACAATCTTTCGTAGTGTTGGCGCCTTACGATTACACGCGAATGAATTTAATCCCAGCTACGTCAAACCGTCGTTTGTGAAAGAACAATTTGAAAGGAGTTGTAAGGAGTCTGAAGTAAAGAAGTTAGGCTAACAATTATAAATAATAATAACAAATAAAGAATAGGCTAACAATTTGGGTGCAATGGCAGGACATGTCGAGGAACCTAAGGGGGATGCTCAGATTCTGTTCTCAGAGAACCTAAGAGGGATCGCTTCGGACTCTACGGAAGAGGACTCCAATCCTAATCCTCACAGGGTGAGGATTAGAGTATTGTGGCCTAAGCAAATTTGTGTTCGACCCAAGTTTTTTCATCGGCTCGGGACCGGTTCACAAGTTGTGGATTCGGTTCAGCTGACGACTCAAAGCCGTCCAAATTTTTTGATTCGACCCAGTTGAAACTCATCGCTTACGTTGAATAATTTCACTCATCGCCCACACAGATTTTGAATCAAGATATGACTTTCAATTTTGGT